GTCAGAAAATCCAGGACCTTCATCACAAAAATAAACTTAATATTTCTGTGTGCAAATGTTTGTGTTATATGAAACATATATTATAATCCTAACTACTATAAATACAGCTTAAAATTAAATTGAAATTTGTTTATTTTTAGTCGTTTTCCTATTTGCTATGTATTAAAATGACCTTCTATAACGCTGTGTAACGTTGAAGGTTGACAACCGCAAAGAGAGACGGTTGAGGTCTCCAGTAGAAAAGACTTTGAGATATTTTTTTGTGGTCCAGAACCGTGGAAGAAGACGGTTAAGGAGCCCGGTAGAAGAAAAGTTTGCTGATGCAAACAGAGAAACAGAATTTGGAGTTCTTACTCTCCTGGAAGTGGCACCCAGAATCTTCCCACGTCGGAACTCACGAAGAGAAGATTAATTATAATTTTTAATTTGTATTTTTCGTACGCGATATCACCCGTCGTGTTACAGATGTTTTGTTTAGCGCTCTGTCTTCAGGAACGCGTCTAAAGCGCTAAACGACGTCTTACTGTATACAATTCGAGATAGTCACTATGAGTTTCCGTTCTATATGATGTTTGTTTCTATATTTAAATTTTAAAACTGCTACAGTAGAATAATGTATCCATCTTATTATGTTATATTATACAAGGCGCGCAAAATTATTCAACTAAAACAGAAGTTGATTTTTCTAAAAATATTTATGTTTCATATTAATACTGTATAATATGAAACATAAATATTTTTAGAAATATAATAATTTCAAAATTGGTTTTTTTACTATAATTTTATAAAAATTATAGTAAAAACCAAATTTTGTGTTGAGTGTATTTTAGCTCGTAAAATGTAACTTCTTTAATAAAACTACTACACATTTTACTGAAAAATTACTAAAATCATCGAGAATTTCTCCAGACTGGCGTCGTTTCAACATCGATTACTATTAAAAAAAATATTTACACATAGTAAATTTTGGATCAAATCCAAGATAGGCGAGAAAATGAATCTGGCATCGTTGGGTCATCAAGAAGAGCGTGAAGTAAAAACGATTCAAATACACTAAAATCACTGGCAAAGTTCGGAAGTTCGCTTCTGGTATCTATTTGATGAATGTTATGAATATTAACATGCTCGAACCGGGATAAATCTATCCAAATATGTGGTATATGAGTGAGAGTATGTGTGTATGTATTTGTGGTATGTAAATGAATTTGCGATGGGATTATTAAATAAAATATTCAGTTTCAACTCGTCGATCCATGCTGTTTGCTTTGCGTGCAATGGCACAAAGTAATTGCGAATTGCATTACATTTATAAATGACTTCGGTTTACTAGGAAAACATCATTTGTTTATTGGCGAAGCGCGTTTATAAAAAAAAATGTCAACATAAAAGGAAACAACTATTGCAAATATTATTCGCGATTTTTTGATGCATTGATGAAATATTAAAAAAATATATGAATATTTCAAAGAGAGTAATGAGAATCATACTAATGTTATCGAATCATCAACACATTCACCACTTTTCATTAAATATAAAATATTTTTGATTATTAACAATACTTGATGGAAAGACTATTGATTATTATCGGCAATATGTTTTATAAAAATTGTATCTAAGTATGGTAATTGGCCGACTAATAGTCGAATGGTTAAGTTGCCCTATCCACGATTCCGTGGGCCCTCTCGGTGCTTGCGGCAATAGGGCCATCGTTCAACATGAATGGTTAGTCAAATGAAAGAAGAATATAATAGTAAAAACTTTCATTTGGAAGTTTACCAAAACAAAAAGAAGCAAATGTTTAAATATACTACGACATAATAAAAAAGTATGGTAATTCTAGATGAATATTATTTGCTTTTTCATATTCAATACATAATAAAGATATAATTCAATATTTATAAATAATATTCGTTGCATTTTTATTAATGTAGAAATAGATAAATAATAAAAATGCTATCAAATTGGGTTTGTTATATAAACACAAAGAAATGACAAAAATAATTCATTACAAAAAGGCTACTAAATTTCTAGATTGAACAAGTTTCTAGGCAACTTCGTCAACTGAATCAACATCAAATGGTCTGGATTATCAAAATTCATCCCTAGTCGTACCAAACAAATGACATGATAATTCCCACTAGGCAATGTCTGTCCTATCGCCCCTCAAAGAGTTAAAACTATTGTACAGAAAACACATCAGTAATTAAAAGTTACCTTATTATATATAATTATATAGTAATATAAAAATAAACACAAGAAAGGAGTAAAATTATGAAATAATTGAAAAGTATTATGAATATATTTTTTTTATCCACAATTTGTTCATCAATGTGAATATTGAGGAAATTTAAGACCGGGGTTGACATTAGGTAGGTAATCTTTCCCGGTGAATCTGCTGCTATCCTTAACACTATTATTGTCAATCGATTTGGCTGAGGGGCTATATGCAAGAACCGACAGAGTTATTTACTGTCACTTTTGTCCTAAAGTAAAACTGTTTTTTTCAAAATAATACTCCGGGACATCTTTTTCGTGTGAATGTTGTGATTTTCTCAGCAACACAACTTCTATGAGTCAACTGTTTTAGAAAGAACTCACTGGAAAATGATTAAATTGTTATTAAATAAAATAACATCTTAGGAATTAGAAATGTTATCCAAATTGAGTCAATAGGTTTCTAAAATGATGTGAAAGAGGATATTAGACATGTATTTAATGCAAAAGATGCTGGTTTTTCATTAGAAGATTTAGAGAAATTTGTTAGTAAATATATCAAGAGAATGAAGCCAAAATTAAAGAAGCTATTCCAAATAATGAGAACAACCAAAGATTAAAACTGCTGATCCTGATTTAGAATTATAATTGTTATTACTCTTAAATGCAATAACTCCATATAAACAATTGTTAAATAAAAGAGAAAATGAGCATAGACAATCTACTTCATATTTTAGAATGTGCTTTCACTTTATATATAAGTTGACAGTTTATTAATTAAAACGAAAAAAAGCTTTTCATTTTTTATAGTATAATAACCTCTAAAAACGATATTTTTCTTAACGAAGTAATTTCATAGAACGCATCCTATACGTCAATCGAGGTATGACTGTATATTTATATTTATATTAAGAAAAATAAAATTGTGAATATAAATAATAAATAGTAATTTCAATATGATAATATAGTTATCCTTCATTACGTCGTTATATCATTTTGATAAAATCACAATAATTAATGTGCGGTTTATGTAAACTGTTAATTAGCAATCGATGTACGCCTAATATCTAACACATCAATAACTGCCATCAATACTAAATGTAGGTAGAAAATCAATATGCTATCTATTATTAATCTTAATCGTCTGAAAGCAGTAAGTCAATACTGAACAGTAAACGCTGATACTGGGATTATTTTAAGTGAATTGTCACTACTAAATTAGTAAAAACAACTGTATTCAGCTATAGTTTATATAAGTTAATAAATAGTAAATAATATTTTTCACGAATTTAAATGCATAGATTTATAATTTAATGATTAGTATTGATAAATACTATAAATCCGTCAATTGATTACTTGACAGTATTTTATAAATTATACAAAAAATAACAATATTCTCGCTATTTTTTAATTATTTATAATATTTTAGAATCATTTTAGTAATAATTAATTAATAGTAAAATAAGATGCCAACTGCCAACAAACTTATTAATTATTGCTAAATGTAAGTAAATAATTAATATGCAATCTATATAATGTGTATAGTGAACGCTAAATCCGAGATTATCTTAATCTATGTGCATTATCACTACTAAATTAGTATAGAAAGCTATATTTAGCTTTAGTTTATATAACTTCAGAAAAAGCAATTACAACAGAGAAAACAAACATGGCAACATTTGCAGATGACACAGCAATCATGGCATCAGACTCCCATAATTGTATCTCGACACCTTCAAGAAGAGCTGAATCTGCTCAAGATATGGTTCAGCAAATTAGTATAAACCAGTCGAAATCGGTCCATGTTACGTTCTCCTTCAAACGAGACACCTGTACCAGGACTTTGGAATAGAAACAGAGGAAGATGTTGACAAAGATTTCTCCAAAAAATACACGAAGAGGCTTGATTCGCATACGAACCCGTTGGCGGTCAACCTCCTGGATAACGGCATGAAAACGAGAAGATTAAAGCACTTGGATTCAAGCCCTTGGATCTCCAATTTAGATTTAAGTAAAGAATAATTTAAGTAAAGTCAATTTAAATAATTTTAATGAAATTGATTAGTTGTAATATAGGAAAAATGGATATTCTTAAGAAATCTTAATTATTTTTTATCTTCGAGATTTTTTTTTAATTTCATTGTATAGAAATGGTTAAATTACCCTAAATTGAGTACAACAACTTTATAGGATAAATGAATTATGTTGAAAAGACTACAAAACCTGAAAAAAGTGTATTATTATGTTAACAATTGATTAGTATATATTTATCATTAGAGCTGGGTTGGTGAACTTTTATTACTTATTACCCCAAAATATATTCATTTACACCGGCATTTCATGGATTACTGAACGTCCTCATTACACCCAATATGCCTTTACTCCATTTGGGGTAATTTACCCTGATTCGCCGGCCACTGCATTCGAGTGAGCTATAACTGTTGAAAACAAGTAAGAATTCCTTCTGCTAACATCTATCTTTTTATCATGCAAATAATACGATTCTTTTAGAGTTACCCGGAAGCAAATAAAACGTCTTCTGGTTAGAGATAATTCAATTTATCTGCAAAACCGAGGATGCACCAAGGTGTAGTTTATTCAAATGATCCTCGACATCTCCCTCGAGTTCCCAGGAATTCCGGTAATTTTATCTTATTACTATCTCTTGAGCTATCCACCTCAACAACGCTCCGTTTGTCTTCACACACTTATATAATATTCGCAGACGCAAAACAATAAAAAAACATGATAGATAAATAAATTCCAGACAAAGGCTTTGTACTTACATCACCAGAAATATTCCTCTCATATATTCTTGCATGTCGTCTGTCAAATTTACCAGGCACATCCCCATTCCATCCATGGCAGGTATGTATTTCTGAAACACACGTAGAGTTTATGTAGCACGCACAACCTGAAGGGAGAAAAAAACATTGGTGGTAGGAGAGGAATTTATATTGGGTATTGATTTTAGAACACACGGGAACGGGAAAACCTTGGAAGCCGTCAAAGAAAATGCAACCGATCTTCTGTAATTTTTTTTTGTTATCCTTGCTTATCCTATGGAACTCGATTTAATGTGGGACAGACCTACCCTTTCCCCCAATCGCTGATAAATTGAGCGATTGTGATTACGCTTCAGATGCATAATAAATCTGTCACAATCATTATTCCCTATCCCACAGATAAATAACATGAGTTGCCTGTCACTCTATATGTTTTTTTTTTGCTGTTTTATTGACAACCTATTATAATTACATTTATATAGAACCACAACGTGAATAATATTTTTTCGTTTTTATATAAACTTTCCTGCTGAACATTTACCATTGCTTTGAAAGTTTGAAATTTTTGACAATTCGAAAGATTTAATATGCTCAATGCAACAGTTTAAATTTTTTGAACATTTTGTTTGTAATATTAATAATATGAAGAATCGGACAGATCATGGGAATGAATGTAGTAATAATAATGGTAAACACATGGTAAATTTTATTAAAAATATATAATGTACTTTAAAATTGAAGAAATTATGTAATACAATAATTTGGATAAAGCAACAATATGACGTGCATATCGATATTTTAGATTTAAAATTTGATTTATTAATCTCCTAAAAAAACTATATTTTACTAATAAAACGAAATAATATTAATTATCTTATGTCTAAAGCTAGATTGAACTTTATTAAGTTTAATTCCTATAAATACTTTGAATATATTGGATAGCATTATAATAAGTAAATACTATTATTAATACACTTGTTAAGATTATCTTTTGATAATTCCTCAAATTCTATAATCCAAGACAAGCAATTATTTTTTTTAACAGTATCTTTATTGGATTCTAACCTTTTTAATCATTTTGAAAGGTTTCATTAATACAGAATAAATAAACTTTGTTTATAAAACATATAAATTTTAAAATTCTAATTAATCTATTAAATTGTGTATTTCGAGTTAATTAATTTATACTAACTATTATGTATATTATGTGTTTTATCGTTGTGTGGGTGAATAATAAGAACTCGGTCTGGTAGATTAAAGATGTCGGTTTATTTTACTTATTAAAATTCATACTACTATTTAATTATCTCTCAACTCATATTTTTACTTGAAATCACCTTTACTGTCAACTCATATTAATTCTTTTGTTTTTACCGTGCTTCTTTTCTTCAAGCCAAGCCTTCCTTTTTTTCCGGCGCACAGTCTTGCCATTATTTTACATTGGCGCCCAAACATTATGTACAGGCAGAAATAACTCCCACATTACGAGAAATTGTGTACAATGAATGGTATATAATTATGTGTTTGAAATTAAAATTTTGAAAGAATTAAAAACTGGCCGTTAAAAAAATATATTTGAATACTATAAAATTATGTATTGCAATGTACATAATAATTAAATTTGAAAAAATAGCAATGTAATATTTGTATTTTCAAGTATTCTGAAAGTGCACGTATTAATATCAAGTATAAAATCTGTTAATTATTGTTTCATGTAATCATTAGTTCCTGCACATTCAATTTGTAGTTTTCTCAAATTCTCTATTAGTATAAAATTTGAATGTTGAATGGTATTTTTTTATTAGTGATGTAATATTCATATTATCTAGAAATCAAATATAAAATGTATGCTTTATTGTTCAAGAACGGCACTTCCTACTTTATTGTTGCATATCGAAAGAATATAAATTCCGAAGTAGATAAAAATTTAATAAATCTTTACAGGAACAAATTTTAATAAAACTATACTTTTTCTTTCATATATTATCTTATGTATCAGTTAGAACATTTATATATTTCACTTTTTTTTTTATTAAAGAATTATTATTTATTATTTATATAAAAAAATAATAAATATTTATTAAAGATATTCAAGTATTCTGAATAATTCATTATTGTCGGTAATGTTTAAGTAGCGGTCCGGAAAAATACGAAAAACAATTAAATGATTGATGGCCCAACCCTCATCAAACAAGAAAGGCCAACATTAATCTCAAGTCAATATTTCCAACTCTTTTCATATTCAAATGCTCCCTAGTGACAACACCAGACGATACATAATAAATGATCTAAAATAATTACTTCTCTTACATTTCACAATAGAAGAATATTCAACCAAAAAATCTATAGCATATTAATATAATAATAATTAAAATATGCTTTATACGAAACAAGAAAAATATAAAAAAAAATTGTCAAATTTGAAACTATCAGATTTATTTTAATTGTTGGAAAATTCAACTAAAGTAAAGTTATTTTATATATTTTTCAAAATATATATTTTTTTACTATTTCCTCTAAAAATCAGATTATTAACTATTACATTAATTTTTATATGAAAAATAGGTTTGTTAGATTTTGACCCCTTGGCCTAAATTGTGAGCATTAAATATGTTTAAATTAAATCAGATTATTAAATTTTACATTAATTCTAATATGATCAATGATTTAGGTTTTCAAACAGAATGTTGGAATGTTCAACAACCTAGGTTGTGAATTACATATATGTTTAAAGAAAAACATGGATTTTGGAAAATAATGATGTTGCATAGAAATTTTAATAGAATGTGAGGCAAGAAATAAATAAAATTAGCGATTTATCGAAGCGTGCATTTTATGCATCTCAGAATAGCCTCGAGTAGACGTGGATTTAATAGAAAATCGAGTTGACTATTCACTCTGACCTACTTCGTCGATATAAATATGAAGGTTTTGAGGTTGCTTTTCAGTTAATCTAGTTCAACAAAAAAAAAACTATTTGTCGTGATATTATATATGATGAATATTCACGCAGTTTCATTTGCACTGCATCAAAGGCAACATTGTTTGAGCAATCATAAAGTTCACACGTTTACAGTTCCACACACACGATTATCGTTCGCGATTTTCAAATAGTTGTAAAAAATATTGTGATATTCCAAACGAATGCTATTGCATATCAAAAAAACGAATAAACAAATAAACTTTATAAAAAAAGTAATATTATTTAAATTGCTTGTAACATGATGAAATAAACCTGGATATCACGTGCATCATACTGATTTTATTATCGAGATCCCGGCGCTTCCACTCTGGCTTTATTATTTTATATAACTTATTAGTCAGACATTACATTTAATACCTGTAGAACAGTCAAAAAATACAAATAAACACATCTCTTTTGTGTCAAGAATTCGCAGTCTTGAATTTTCGGAAATTTCCCTAACTAACAGGATAATAAAGGAACAATCAGACTAAGTCTCCAAACTTTGAGTTTTCAAGATGTGTCATATAAAAAAAACATTTTCTATTAATATTTACAAAGACTTCTGAATACGCGACACTCAACATTAATCCGACCTATCCTTTACTGTGTTGGCGCAGTCATTGAATTTTAGTTGAAAAGCTTTGACATTGGTTCTGTTGAGCAAAAAAACTGTTGAAAATACGACTTTAAAAAATGCAATAAGTTGACGAAGTTTCAATATAACACAGTGCGAAAACTGAAGCAAGTTTAACATTGAACAAAATTTCATTAAAAATTTTACTAGAAAACAACTTCCAAATATCTGAATAGAAGATGATGATTTTTCAGTGAAATATTTAGAAAAAACATTGTTAAAAACGAATACAAAAAAGTGAAAATGAAATTAAGAAAATTTATAAAGCAAAATGTTAACAATCAAAAATTTAAAAAGATGTTTAAATAACATTGAAAACATTTAAAATAAAATGAATTAGTGAAGTTTATCCTGATTTAGGATTAAGTAAATGCAATATTTCAGTATAGGAAATTTGAAAACTTCTGTTTCTTTTAATAATAAAACTATACTTTATTAAAAATATTTTACAATCCATTTCCCCTTTCATAATTATAATTCTACATTTCAAGAACTTATTTTTTATTGCAAATAGAACCTTTTCTATAACAAGAAAAGTTTTATACTAAGTTTTAAGGTGTTAATTAAATTGTTCGCGTCATTTTAACGTGATATAAAAGCAAAGCAGTGTTTTCTTTAGTGTGGATATCTCTGGAAAAGTTTAAATCTCTACACAGACAATTCCGAAGCAGTTTAAGCGCACTTCGGAAGAACTTTCGCCGATTAAAACTTGCCACCCTTCTTGCTATCACACTTAATAAACTATTAACAGAATTACATTGAAGTAAATGCAGTTTACATTGATCCCACATCTATTTTTTTAATATAATTTATTATAGGTCATCATCAAATTTAATTTAATAAAAAAAATTATATACAAAAACAATGTTTTTTTTTATTTTATCGAAGAAATAAAGGAAAGAAAATAAAACAATTAAATTAAATTTCCACCTCCTAATGATCTCCTTTATTCCAAAACCAAAATAGTCCCTCTCCTCGACCGATACCTGTCCCTCTCTTTGAAATTTAAATCCAAACAATCCAACATAGCCTCCCTCTCTAAATTATGTGTCCCTCGAAACCCAAACATCCTTCCCAAATTTAAATATCCCACATTATCCCTATTCCAATACCTAATGTCCATCGATTGATACACACTTGTTCCTACTCCGCTACTTTTTTGTTTCCATCATTCTTCTGTTGTTCATTTGTATATTATTATTATAATACTGATATTATTTTATAATTAAACTTATGTTCCCGGGCGGAAAGACCTCGGTCGTTAGCCCTTTGGCAAGCCTATTAATATATATATATATATATTTTTTTATATTAGAATTTATTTATTTATATGTATAGAATGTACTTTTTTTCTTAAGTATTGATGTTTGGCCAATAAATTATTATTATTATTTTTTTTAATTTCCAATAAATATATATAAAAATAGAGAGGAAAAACTGTGGTCAACAGTCTTTTGTAGGCGCAGTAAATTTTGTTTTTTTATATATATTTT